GGCTAGCTTTACATGAGGATAAGGAATTAACTAAGTTATGGATATTGTGCTTATAGTATCTTTGGATGGATAAGGAAGCTGCTGTCCTCTAAAAGAGCTTGAAACTCTATGGTGGGTGACAGTCCCTAGTCAGGTAAGTAAACCTATCTTTTGATTTGAAATTCAGACTTAGAGTGCTTTCTGGAGGGACTCCCCATAACACCATATATTCAGCAGGCTAAGACAGAAGCATCTCAAATTCAAGGCCTTTCTCAGTAATTTCGTGAGAACCTCTCTCCAAAAAAAAAGAAAGAAAGAAAGAAAGAAAGAAAGAAAGAAAAATTAAAAATAAAAAAACTTTAAAAAATGGACTCTGGATGTGGCTCAGTGGTGTAGATCCCCTGGGTTCAAACCTTGGTACCCAAACTGAATTCATGAAAAATTTAATTAACTAAATAATTAACTAATACAAATTAAAAAAAAAAGCTGAGGATGTAACTCAGTGGTAAATCTCTCCTGGGTTCAATGCCCAGTGTCAAAAAATAAAAAATAAAAATTCATAAATTCAGGGCCTAAATATTTTTTTTAAAATGATCACCTCTACTCATAAAATTTCTGCAAAAGTCTAACTCTTCATAGAACTGTAAAGGCCAGAGCTTGGAGATGAGATATCCAAGGCCTAATGATTAGGCAAAATTGAATTTAAAAGTGATTTCCTGGTGGAGGGACTCTGAGAACCACTCCCTCCAAACCCACCTTGTTGTTCAAATGTGGCTTAATGAGTTTCAACATTGATTCCTAGTCATCTATTAATTCCCACCAATGGGGGACTGGACCAACCAGGAAAAGTGTACCCTAGCACTAAGATAGAATCAAACCCTAACCATTATGTGATACATCCAGAGAAAAAATCTTCATCCCATGGGGAAAACATAAATGGTGCTCAAATCAAAAGGCAGTAACTGTGTCAAATCCTAATTAAGGGCAAGCAGGGTTCTTTGAAGGGAAAGTCTCTGGGCAGCCATACCTGATGACAGGAACTATCACAAACAAGTCAGCCCCAACCTCAGCTCTACATAAAATTCACCCAAACCCTCACCCCCCATGTTTTCTAAGAGGACACCTGGCCAGACATCACCTATTGTCCTTGAACTCAGGCCACCCTTGGTACTGAATCTGTGAAGCCATTGATAATTGATTCAAAGCTGCCTTTGACACACTGTATCCCTTTGCCCCCAGGATGGGGCTCTGACTCATATTTCTTTGAGAGTGCTGCATTCCTGCCCTATTATGTTTGACCACGTTTGTCCTTTGGAGAGCCACTGTCTGTTGTGACTTAGGTTGATTGTCATTTTGACCTGCCTTGTGCACCAAGTCATGGGTAATAAGAGAAGTCAGGGCTGTGGCATGAAGTCACCCTTTGAGCTGGTGACACACAGACAAATTCCAGAGAAACTTAAAATTAAATCAGAGAGTAGATTTCAAATATTTTAGAGCATAAAAACCAGAGATAGTGTTGGATGTAGCCTTAATCCTATATAGCTGCACACACACATGAAATTAAATGTGTTTCATTTGTGGCAAGGTATTATGTGAAACAGAAACTAAATATAACCTTAGCCAATTGTAATTATCCAACTAACATATGATTACGTGATGTGAGCAGGGATATTTTCCAACAAGACACCCCAAACGATTATCACAGTTTAGATGCTGTGTCTCCCAACAGCTCACATGTGACAATGTTTTTGAAGGAAAAATGATTTATTTATAGCCTTAAACTAGCCAGTGAATTAATTCCTAGTGAGATTAACTGCAGGATAAGTGGGCTGTGGCTGGAGAAAGCTGATCTTTGGGGTGTGAATATGGGTGTAGAGTTTGTATCTGCAAGTGTTCATTTCTCTCTCTCTCTCTCTCTCTCTCTCTCTCTCTCTCTCTCT